GCCTTCATCTCTGCAAGAAAGGTAACGGGTTATGTCTTTCTGGTGGAATGTTTGATTACAGGCTTATAAAGGAGCAGTATGGGGGAAAGATTTTCAGAGAGAGTTTGGGCAGAAGCTGTGTCACTGTGGTGTCTCGTCGGACAAACATGGCTAATTCCGATTTAAGGGTAATTACTTCTTAGCTTAATAAACATACAAATCACGACACACCGTTTATTTTCAGGTTAATTTGATTCAGATTCTTGAGCTGAGCTGTTTGCTGTGGAAAGGCGAGAAACACTCATCCGTGTCCAGAGTTCCTAAAATAGGCTCTAATAGTGCAGAGGCGTTATTCATGTGTGAGAGAGAGAGAGTTTCTTAATCCCTCTCAAGTTTGAACTTTTGCCACTTTCTATGGGTTTATTGCTTTAGTGCCAGAAATAGACATATGACAGACTTGACAAGCAGAGGAAAAGTGAGGCACGTCTGCTCTGACACTGCCACACTTCTGGGCTGTAACTTTTAAGCAACATAACATAAAGGGAGATATAAACTAACATGCAAGTTCATTTCTGGAGTCTGGAACCTCGGCCATATTATAAAAGAAACTATCAGAAGATAAGTTGAGATAATATTTCCGATCCATTTAGCAAATTTCACCTATAACAACACGGACAAACTACACAGATAAGATGCACATGTGTCTCATAGTATTGAGGAATTAAACTATACAGCCATGCCAGCAGCTCTTTGATCCTTTTCCTGCATGCTACTATGCTGACAGTGCTAACATGCTGATATCGAAGATAAGAACCAGAACACTTCCTGGAGTTCCTTAAGGATCCCCAAAGTTATCAGGATTCATTTTATAGGGAACATAGGGAACAAAGTCGTTGATTGACCAACAGACAGATTAATAAGGCCATCTGTAATGAAATGCCGTAAGAATCCATACAAATCTTTATACGTTTTTAGCTCATACTGTTCCTGTACATCCTATACCCTGTCATAGTGTTAAGTGCGTTTGGGAACTGTCTGATCCTGGGTTAATCATTCCTAGAAGGCAGTACTGTTCCTTTATATTTACAGTAATGAAGGATTTCTTCCAGGCAGAAGCCCATAAAAAACACATACTCATTAACCAAATCTCTATCATCCCTAATACGCCCCCTCCTATATCACCACACCAGATAGACACCAGATAGACACCAGATAGACACATTGAGGGCTTGATCACAGAAACAGCTGCGTGAAGCTGAAGGGTCCGGATGGGAACATGAGACAGCTGCTGAGAGATCTTTAAAACGTAATTCCCCAGAAAACAGGTCGGCAGAGGGTTTCAGTGACGACATTAACCTCCCTCACCATGAAACAAACTATCTGTCCTCCCATACACAAAGGGCAAGCATTACAATGGGGAGAAAAGCCAAAGAAAAGTGATTTCCTGTCAAAAAAGTGGTGCACATATTTATCTGAGCTTCAATCCGGAGAAAATGTTTTCCTCAGTTGTAAGCTGCGTAACATTTGTCTCCTGTATCAAATTATTATTTGGCAATAAAACAAGACGAAGAAATCAGCAGAAGCACTTGTGACATCTGGGACTCAAAATCAAAAGAAACCACAGTGGAAACATTTTCATTTTCCTTCTTTTATTTGATACCAGTGTTTGACTTTTATATGGATATGGTTGTTTTCATTCGTTTTTTACTTATTCATCCTTCACAGTTTAATCCAGGTGTCACATCCAATCTGTCACTTCCATTTTGAACTGCATTTCTGGTTTATTTTTTAACATGCTCAGACAGGGTTCTTTAAATCAGATGACATGAATGAGCACAGGAGGTGACAGTGGGGGTAGCGCAAACAGCAATACCTTCAAGAAGTTTTTTTATATGTATAAAATTCAGACTGTCAAGGCAAAAAAAGCACATTTACATCCGTTGTTTAAAATAACAAAGCTTGGCAAAACATCAACTATTTAAATATGTAAGAAAGATGAGCCCTCCTGACTGATATCAATTAAAAGTGAGTCAAACCGTCTTTACAAATTATTATTATTAATCTAATAGTATAGTGTAACTTGGAAATATTGCATCAATATGTCTTACGTTTAAAGAAAGAAAGTCAATCAAATAATTTTAAAAATGCTATAATTGCATTCTAAGTCCTACACAATTGGCTTTCAAAATAAGAAAATGCAGTCATTTAATCAGATTAAAACGAATGCAAAAGATGTGTTTGCATCAACTGTTTGACCCACTTTAGTTTGATTTGTGTCAGCATGAGCCCAGGTGAAGATATGATATAAAAACTTTGAACAATAACGATCTCCACATCAAGACTCTGCTGTGTTAAACCCACGACAAACATTAGAAGACTTCACCATCATGACATGAAGGAAGGCTACGGAACGGATCGATGGGCACGAACACAGTGGCAGTTCTCATAGTGATAATCACGTCAGAGATCAGCTGGTAATATGGCTGCGACTGGAATCAAACATGTGACCTTTCCAGGAACAGACTCGAACAAATTGGTCTCCCTGCGGCCACACATACCGCAGATTCAGAAGTGTGTACAAGAAAATGGACAATACTGCCATTGTGTCCGTGCCATTTCTATCTGTGCCGTTCAACTTTAGTTTCACAGACCTCATGACAGCTTTAAAGAAACAGTTTGAAACAAATATGAAGCAACAGCAAGCAGCCAGTTAAATATCTTCACGACTAGGGCTGTGCAATTAATCGTATTTTAATCGCAATTACGATTTTGACCTGCCACAATTACGAAAACAACATAATCGAAAAAAACAATTATTTTGCTTTGCTAGGTTGTGACAGTGCACTGCAACATATTTGATCTAATTAATTTTGGCCTCATTTATTTGTATTTATATATGTTTAGTAGCTTGGGGAAGTGCGCTCCAAAATATTTGTTGATCTTGTTTATTGGTATTTATTATTTTGATATTATTTATTTAAATGTATCATTTATTTAATTTATTTTTGTATTGGTTTTTCAGTTGAATTATACGTTCAGGGTAATCAACAGTTAAAAAGATACTGTTCAAATTATTATTTGTATTTGTTTTAAAGTTCAATAAATGGATTTTTTCAAAGTCAATGAATAATCGTATTTAATAATCGTGATATCAATTATTGACCAAAATAATCGTGATTATGATTTTTGCCATAATCGCACAGCCCTATTCACGACTGTAACTTTATTTGTTTTAAACTTAATCCCTACAATCCGAAGGATCGATCATGGCTCCCAATGTAGCTATGAGCTTGGCGGTTTAATTGTAGGTAGATTTCTTCCAAAAAACCACAACTGTGAAATTGTAAATCAAATCTGTGTTGATATTTTCTTGTGGAGCCTGCATTTTTTGAAGTTGTGATCTTGTTTTAATGTAAATTCTTAGTAAAACTAGCAGTTTCCCACGGTTTCCAATTTTCAATAAGCTAAGCTAACTGGCTGCTAGCTCCATGTTTGACATACAGAAGTGGTATAAATCTTCTCAGCAAAAAGGCGTAAAAGTACCTTCCCCCCCAATAAGTGATAAAAACACAACTATAAAACGAACATAGTGGCGTGTTCAGCCTCTTGATAAGGAACCTTCAGTTGGAATATAAACAAATCATATTCTGCCCTCATTGCGATGGTGAGATTGCTCTTATAAGTTCCTCCATGCAAAATCAACAAAATAAAGAGTTTCAAACATTCAAGTCACATGACAGATTCAACTCCCTTTTGATAAGAAAACTCAGTGGATGGAATAAAGGCCCGAATCAGACAGTAATGGGAATAGATACAAAAACATGTGTACAAAAAGCACGTACACATTTAAAAATCCTCATGCTCGATATATACAATTCATACTCTGTCCAGTCTCACTCATTCACAATACTGGGCAGGAGAGAGAAAACAGAAAGGTGCAAATAAGAAACATAACAATAGCTAAAAGTGTTGATCAAGTTTTGAACCACATGCTGCGTTTGGACCCGAATGTTTTTTTTAAACTTGGTCCAGCAGTTTGTAGTTCTTTTAAGTTATTCAATATCAACGATTGATCCGCAGAGCCAAAATAAAACAATAACACATTTAAGAGCTTCAGAGATAACCCTTGTTTAGATAATCCTTTATGCCTTAATATGTCTCAAAAGGCACTGGACCTTGTACAGCTTAACAGAGGAGTAAAATAACAGCATAAATCACTAAACTATTAACATGTTCTGTACCTTGAGTCTTAAGGAGTATTTTCAAGGATAGTGGGACACTCCATGCACTGTCCATGCAGAGTGATCCTGTGTTGAAGTATCGACAATATGGCACGGTCACATTTATCACTCTTAACACTAGAACCGCCAACCGGGTCAATTTGACCCAGAGCTGTTTTTTTTTGTGTGTAACCTTTTTTCAATAAAATATTAAAGTCTTCCAGTCCGTGACTTTTCCTGAAAGTGTGTTATGTAGCACCCTATGTTGTTAAAAATTGTCAATATGAAGTCAGATTGAAGAAATCGCCCAAAATATTGCCATTTATACCTATTTCCGCCAAGCGGGTCATATTGACCCCACCCCTTTTCATATAAACATGACGTGTTGCTATAGCAACGCCTTTTGTCTACTGCGGTTCCTCCTTATAGATTGAGAGATAGATTGAGAGAGAGAGATAGATGGATAGATATATTGATAGATAGTTACAGATAGAGAGAGAGAGAGAGAGAGAGATAGAGACAGTCTGTAGTGAAGGAGTGCGCTCCCGCTCACGGGAGACTGCTCGCGCTGAGCTCCGCAGCAAACAGCTGTGGGGCGAGTTGAAAGTACGTTATGCTGGCCGCGGTGTCTAAATAATGCTTCCGGGCCAGCGGGCCATTTATAATGTCGAGCCCTGCGAGTCCACAGATTATATTATACGTTTCATCCCTGTGCGATCAAAACTCTCTGTTCAATAAAAGAATATTTTACCTTGAAAATCAATGCATTCTAATAGCGGGTCAATTTGACCCAGGTGGCGGTTTTAGGTATAAAAAATCTCTGGCGGTTCTAGTGTTAAAGGACATTTAAAAAAAAAACAAAAAAAACATTTCAAATCACGTTTTCTAACTGCAAGGCCTGCAAGTACAAAAAACAACAACGGTTGTGTTCGTAGTGTTAGCTTCTACATCAGCGAGTTGTTTTTCCCTTGTGCACAAACAAATACAAATCACAATTATAAAAGATGCACAGGACAGAGGCTCAGTTCTTCCTGCACCCGGATGCAAAAATGATAATAACCGCACGAACAAGTCAGCCACTTAAATGCCACTTTGTGACATTGAGTCATAGAGTCTTTTTCTGTCACGACCTCTCTTTATATCAGTGTCTCTCCATTTGAGAGAACAAGGACAGTGTCAGAGTGGGCATCAAAGAGAGCTCTGTTCCCTTGGCAAGTATAGAACAGATTCCAAGATGACTCAGATTTTCCTTAAACCAAGGAGCCTTCTTGAGAGTGAATTGTACCATAAAGTCAGTGAGGATGTCCGCTTCCAGGTGAGGTACCTATGTGTGAGGTTAGTTTGCAAAGCATGTCTTATTACATATGTCGATTCTCTCTTCTCTCCTGGCCACTGAGGAACCGGGAAAAAAGCACAATTCACATTAATCCCAACAATCACAATTTGGCAAAAACAATAAATGGTTTACTCGATGTCCCTTTCCAGTGAAGTGTTCAAATGCAACTTGGCTAAACATTCTGGGATGTATATCACTTAAGACTCCATTTCGAATGGCTCCTGAACTGACGCTCTATTTGGCACCAGAAAATGCCAATGAAGCGCTTGGTTGAAGTAAAGCAGGGAGAGAAAAATCCTTTCATGCACATACCAGCCAGCTTTCACTCTTTTCTCCCCCCTGCCAGTCCTTTTTTCCCTCCTCCATTACATTGCAGTCCTATTCTACTAGGTACCCGGATTCCATTATCTCTCCCTTGTTCGCATTTCGCCTGTCTTTCAGTGCCTTTTATTATCCCCCCTGGTCCTCAGCTCCTTCTGTCTCTGTTTGAAAAGACCCAGAGGGGGGGTTTGGTCCAGCTGCCCCATATGTCATTCAGATACAGTAGTCAGCACAAAAAAAAAACCTAAAACATCCCCCACCCATCTAACCCCACACCTTACCAGCTGAGGCTTTCCACAACATACCATAAACACACACAATTTCTGAATTGAGAGGAGATATGGCATGTTTTTGTGAATGTGTGCTTTTGGCTGCATGTGTGCCCCGATGCTGCTGGTTTGGGTGGGGGACTTTGTTATGATAATTAGGGATTAGCTCTGGTGGGGGGCAGCAGGAGTGTGTGTGAAAAGAGTGCCGAGGTTCCTCTGAGGAAATATGCGCACTAACTTCCTGCCGCTTTACAATCCTCCTCTGCTTCCTGTAGCCCACTGAATGACCGCTATCGCTCCATCAGGAAGCTCTAACTCCCTCATTCCTGAGGGGGGCAGCATCCCACTCTCATGCGCAACGTGCCGCTTTTGTGCAGCTGCCAGAGCTGGACAAACTCTTCGGGCATGGCGTGGAACCACTTATAGGGCAGGATGTTGTCGTAGTAGTGGTGGCTGACCGGCTGCTCGTCCAGGCCCACGGAGAAGGGCCAGAACCCGTAGGCCGTCACCTCCTCGCACAGCCCCAGGGCCAGCGAGACCAGGAACAGCCCCGTGGAGAGCCGTTTGGCATGCACCCCGCGCCCTTTCCAGAATTGACCCACCGAGCGCAGGAATTCTGGGTTTGCAAAGAGCATGGTGAGGTTGGAGGAGGTGTCGGCCAGGGCGTAGTAGGCCCGCAGCGAGGGGTCGGTGCCGGGCTTCATGGAGAATGCTGGCATGTAGATGTAGCTGGAGCCGTACACCTTCATACTGTCCACGAACGCTTTCCTGGACCACAGGAGGTTCTGAAACCTGAGACAGAGTGATACAGAGGAAGAGTTAGACTTTTTTTGAAATTATTTTTGTATTCAGCTTTTCACAATCATAGACAATACACTATTCTCTGTAAGCCTTCTGTAGTTTACAGTGAAATCACAAATCAAACATACATATTTATCTCCATGTGGAAAACACTGATCTCAGAGGTAATGAGTCGGGAACAAATAAAACAATGTCTGGATGGGAAGTCTAATCTTTTCCTGCAAAACGGTGGAGTAAACCCCTGGAATCTCTCGGTGTTAAATATTGTTTGGAGCTATCTAAATGAACACTGGACAATATCTTTGGAAGAATGCTGGATTTGAAATGGTCAGTTTATAATTGTTTCCCTGTGTATTATACAGTCATTGTAACATGTCATGCTTTGTGATTTGTTGTCTGCGTGTTGTCCTTTGCCTCATTTAACTTTGCATTTTTACTGGGCCAGTCTTGTATTAATAACCTGATTGTTTGTTGTTTCATGTACCTTTATTGAAAAAATCAATAAAATAACAAATTGAAAACATACATATTTGTGGATAATACAGAGGCAGGCTCTTCAATCATGCTATATAACATACAGTATGAACATAAACAAGGTTATGGGGGTATACCTGCAGCCTATTCAAACAAGGGGGCATAGAAAAAAATACAAATATAAGACATACAAATCCCTACTAGACAAATGATGGTCGTATTGGTGTAACATATATTATCAATGTTTCCCATCTCGTCAAAAAGATTCCCTGTTGCAGTCTCAAAGCAAGGGTTATCCTTTCCATCTTAAAAATATCATAAACAATGTCATCCAAAGTAGGTTTTCCTGGTTTTAACCTCATTCTGGTGATGGCCTACTTGCTAGAGGAAGAGGGGGGTCATTTCAGTTCAGGGGCCACATACAGCCACATCTGATCTGAAGTGGGCGGACAGTAAAATCGTAGCATAATAACCAATACAAACTCCAAATGGTTCCCTTTGTTTTAGTGCAAAAAAGTCCATTCTGAAAATGCCATCAAAGTTGTCGAAGCAGTTAAGTTCTCTGTAATTTTGACACTTTGACACTAAACGTTAAGTCACCCATGACCTGGTTTACTCATCTGCTGCTCCCTCTCTGCCTGTCTACAGAGGAAATGAACTTCCTGTTGTCCGTACTGCAGCACAATGGGTGGTGGGCTCGTACCCACTATATTCAGCGCTGCATGAGTTTCAGTTTTACAGTTCAGGGTTAACTCATATGCCTCAGTCAATTTAGTTTATTTGATTCTTTAAACCCTAATCATGTTTGTATTTCATAATGCCTTTCTTCATTCTCACATTTGGAGCACTTTGAACACTCGCTTTGCTTAATGCATATTTGAATGTCATGCCTTCCTGATAACTATTTGTAGACTAGCGCCACATAAAGTTTGAATTACTGTAAACCATAACCAATAGCTCACAATATACGCTGACATCACCCTCAGCCATGCTTGCTCAAACCATGCATGCACTTTGTTCTGTATGATAAGTGATGAATGTTTTACTGAGAGGACAATGTTTTTATGATCACCTCTTCTCTACAATGCTGGGGTTGGCAGTGACCATGTGCGTTTTGGTTCCCACATCCTCCACATAATCCTTTGAAAGCGGCGGAAGGTTGCACCTGAGTGAACAAAACACACCCAGTTTATTATTCATTTTATTTTTATACACACTCCACGTACAAAATGCACTGACAGAATAAACAATTAAAGGATTCCTCGAGGTCATTTCCGTGATTATCTGATCTGATTACGCTATCAGACAGACAGTTTCCATAGTAGTGTGTGTGTGTGTGTGTGTGTGTGTGTGTGTGTGTGTGTGTGTGTGTGTGTGTGTGTGTGTGTGTGTTTACAGCAGGTCAAAGATACTTTAAGAGGTTAAAGTAATGGGAGCTAATCATTAAACTAAAAGCGAGAACAGCTAAAGAGACATTAGATGTGGCCTCGTGCTGTAAGTATTTGGCAATCTGTAGATTTTTTTCTTGATTAATCTTATAAATAAAATCTATTATAGAAATATAAAATAGTAGAAAAATAGTGCAATATGTCAAGCAGCGTATCCCACAACCCCCAAAATGTCTTGTTTTGCCCAAAAATCTAATATATTCAGTTTAAGGTAATTGGGAAATGATGACTTAAGACTGAAATAATTTCTTTCTTAAAAAGATTTTATTCTAAACTCTAAAGTGGACTGACATTGCTTAGAAGTGGTTAAACAACAACGCCTGCAGAATGGCTTCAATCTTAATTAACTGGAGTGACAATGTCCCATATTTAACACCGAATATAACGTTCCCTTTCACGTTCCCTTTCACCAAGAAACAGCTGCGGTAACAATGTGAATATAAATCCACAAGGACTAACTAAAGTTCATTTTGTGTTTGCAAGATGTGTTTAGCAGAGTATTTGAAAATAATGGAATAATGACCGCCTGCTGTTTATCACATCAGAGCTGTTTATATCAGCAGATGGAGGAAATGAAGGACAGCTGGAAAGGATACTTTTAAGAATGATGAACATATCCATTGTGTCCTTGCCGTAGTGTTTCCTCTATCTGGGTTTATCTGCCCTGCTTTGCTTAAAGGGGACCTATCATGCAAAATGCACTTTTGTACGTCTTTTTACATGAATATGTGTCCCCGGTGTTCCAGGGAACTCACCAAGTGTCAGAAAACACAACCCTCTCTATTTTCCTCCATACCCAAATCTCTAAAAAAGGGGCTGCAACGGATCTGATACAGACTGATCCAGATTTGAACACTTCTATGACGTCACAGAAGTGGCGCTACGGCTATTGGGCCAACTCCACCAATCAGGGGAATGTGGGGTTGGGCCACGGCCGGCCATTGCCGCTCGAAAGCGCTGGAGACGCTGTAGTACATATGCCAGGCCTGTAAGTGGCGCTGTAGTCTGCCACAAAAGCAGCGAAGAAGACTTCCCGCCCATAGTTACCATGGTTACCCTTCTGTTTATTCTCCGCTGTGGCTTTCTTTCTCCCTCCCCGAGGCAAGCGTTTGCTCCCGCTGCTTTAATTCAATGCAATCCCTCCCCGTCGAGGCAAGCACTGTAATTCTCTCCGGTTAGTCCACCAGCAGATGACAAACACCCACCTCTCCGCCTCTTCCAAGGAACGAGGGGACCGTGCGGCAGAGTTTCAGTTTCAGTTTCTTTCGCCGGTCAAGATGTCCGTTAAAGTTTAAATCTTCCGGACAAAATTAGAAAAGTGCCGGTCAAAGGTCTTCTTTGTTATTTATTGAGCTTTAAAACAAATGAATAACGACTCTATAGGTCTATAACAATATAATAAAACACGGAGGACGGAGATCTTTTTTTCTCCCCCTCTTGACTTGATCAGAGCACGGCTACCCTCTCCTGCGTGGTCAGCTGCAGCTCATAGAATCAGCCCAGTAGACAGCAAACAGCACATAGAGCGAAATGAGGCATGGCTAAAATGCATGATCTGTTTGGTATTTTGAAAACAGAAATGTATAAATATACCTTAGGTATGGCCCTACAATATAACATTTAAATATAGCATGATAGGTCCACTTTAAGTTTAGATTATCTCAGTAACAGTTGTGCTATCTTTTACTGTTCTGTTTCTTATCCAGTTTCATTTCTACAGTCTGTTAAATCTGGTTGTCTGAGCCAATACAGCCGAGTAATGAGGTAATGATGTATTACATTTATATTTTACAAGATGTGGACTTGCTGCTATACAATATTTTATTCCAACAGTCCATTTCAGACTCAATGTATCACATATTTAAGCCCCAAATAGACTGTTGTGTTCATAGATGGGTTGGTACTTACATTACATTGGGTATATTGTAAATATATTTCTGTTATCTCAACAAAGCAATTTCTTCCGGGAAATTGCAGGACATACATTCCACTGTCTATTTTAGGACAAACCCACTCATACTTTGTAACACAGAGACACATACTCAGAGAAGGGGTTTGTTGGGGGGCTGGTTGCAATCACGACCAATCACATCACTTCCTCTGATGTACTGACAGTTTGGTTATGGAACAAAGAGTATGGAGGTGGGGTGTTTTTTCAGTTATAACATATGATTAGGGATGGGTATCGTTTGAAATGTATCGATTCCGATTCCGGTTCTGCTTATCGATTCCAAAATTGTAAAAGAAAGAGGTCAAACGTTTAGATAACAAAAATATCTTTATTCTTTTAAAGTGGACCTATCATGCTATATTTAAATGATATATTGTAGGGCCATACCTATATAAGGTATATTTATACGTTTCTGTTTTCAAAATACCAAACAGATCATGCATTTTAGCCATGCCTCATTTCGCTCTATTTGCTGTTCTCCAGCCCTGTTTTTGCAGGGGGCTGATTATGTGAGCTGCAGCTGACCACGCCCCCCTGCAGGAGAGGGGAGCGTGTGCTCTGATCAAGTCAGAAGAGGGGGAGAAAAAGAGATGTCCGTCCTCCGTGTTTTATTCTTATATGATTATATAGAGTCATTATTCATTTGTTTTAAAGCTCAATAAATAACAAAGAAGACCTTTGACCGGCACTTTTCTAATTTTGTCCGGAAGATTTAAACTTTAACGGACATCTTGACCGGCGAAAGAAAACCTAACTGAAACTCTGCCGCACGGTCCCCTCGTTCCTTGGAAGAGGCGGAGAGGTGGGTGTTTGTCATCTGCTGGTGGACTAACCGGAGAGAATTACAGTGCTTGCCTCGACGGGGAGGGATTGCATTGAATTAAAGCAGCGGGAGCAAACGCTTGCCTCGGGGAGGGAGAAAAAAAGCCACAGCGGAGAATAAACAGAAGGGTAACCATGGTAACTATGGGCGGGAAGTCTTCTTCGCTGCTTTTGTGGCAGACTACAGCGCCACTTACAGGCCTGGCATATGTACTACAGCGTCTCCAGCGCTTTCGAGTGGCAATGGCCGGCTGTGGCCCAACCCCACATTCCCCTGATAGGTGGAGAGTTGGCCCAATAGCCGTAGCGCCACCGTCCTGACGTCAGGACAGTGTTCAAATCTGGATCAGTCTGTATCAGATCCGTTGCAGCCCCTTTTTTAGAGATTTGGGTATGGAGGAAAATAGAGAGGGTTGTGTTTTCTGACACTTGGTGAGTTCCCTGGAACACCGGGGACACATATTCATGTATAAAAGACATACAAAAGTGCATTTTGCATGATAGGTCCCCTTTAAGCTTTAACTGACATTTTTACAAATAAAAAATATACATGCAATACAAATGTATTGCACAATAGCTGTGCTTTATTTTAACTGAGCTATGCCTGTGGCAAGCTATTAACAGGCATTACACTGTGCCTTGTCTTTTTATTTTTTAGTGTTTACTTTTTTTTTTTTCTCACTTTAGAGCGTTTACCGCGATCCATTTTTGGTGTTATGAAGTGACTGAGCTCGTGAACTGTCTACGGGGGGGCGGGGGGAGCCCCGCTGCGGGGCAACTGTGGATCTCTGTCGCCTGTCAGCGCAACTTAGGCTACATGATGCCGTTTAAAAAAATTAAGGGCGGTGCCGGCCATCAGCGAACCGAGCTGGTCGTCAACGGCCCGCTGACGACCGGCCGTTCTGTGATTCTCCAGAACACACAGATGGCCAGTCTGCCCGCGGCGCAGACGGACCCGCGGCGCAGACGGACCCGCGGCGCAGACGGACCCGGTGGAATACAGGGTCTACCGCGTTTAGGAATTGTTAAGCAGAACCGAAATTGTGTATTTTGTATGGGCACCCGGTACCCGGCATTTTCTTATCGGTTCTCATCTGGAACCGAGTTTCGGTTCCCAACCCTACATATGAAGACATATCTTATAGTTTATAGTGTATAGTGTATAGTATTATATGCAGTGTCTTGATGTTTTGCAACAATATCACCACATCCAAACTGGCAATACAAGAGGCTGTTTACTGTAAACCTTCACATGTTTACATCAAGGGATATGTCCTAAAAAACAATGAAAAAAAGGCTTCCCAAGCAGGTCAGGGATAATTATCTGGGGAAAAGCAGCAAGATAATTAAAAGTGCTTAATATGTGCATAAGAACAGACACTACATGGCGTGTAAGGCTTGGTTGAAGCCCTGAAGCTACTCTGGATTGCAACATGTGTTCAGGTCTTTTCTTGCAGCGTTCAACCTCTTCCTGCGCTTTGCTGAGAAGAACGTGACAGTTTCGAGGAAACCTTTTCTTAAATTTCACGCAACTGTGAATTTGTTTTGAATACCACATTTTTTATTTGGAATTGAACAAGCACTGTCAGTTTGACCAGTGAAGATCACAAGGTCTCATTGAGCAGTTGTACACAGGTGTTATTTGGAATCAGATCGGCTATGCAATGTGACCGACATACTAGGTGCAGTCAAAGCTGCCCATTTGAATATTACTGCATATATTTTGCATCTTGTGCATGCAGACATTTCTATGCAACTATATTTTGAATCGACAGGTTTAAGCACCCTTCAAATTCATTGATTGATATAAAAACCCATTATCAGATGATCCCTGTAGTGCTAGGGTTTAGAGACATCCTGTTCAAAATGCAATATCTGATCTATCGATTTCAATCTTTTTACAGGATCACCCATGAGGATGTGTATCAATCGGATTTATTTTCCGGTGCTCTTAAAGGGTCTTCTGTTTGAGCTGGAATCCGCACGACGTCATGCACTTTTTCCTTACGCTCAAGGTCTACATTTCAAAACATTAGCTCTCTCTTTAATCCGTTCTGCTTCAACAGTCTGGATCAGTTGTCACGTCCTCAGAAGGAATACCAGCTCCATCAGAGGGGATTTCTTCCTTAATCAGAACCCATATCAATTTTCTTTGATCACTTGTTTGTGTGTAATGTCCCAATCCGCCCACATTTATTTCTTCCAGCATCTAGTTTTCAATGAGTGCTCTCCTGATGGATCTGTTCTGCTTTATGTCTCTCTGCTGCCTCTCCTCTTCCTCCCTCATCTCAGTCTGTCCCTATTTTTCTGCTTACTCACGTCTAACCTCCTTTTCCTCCTCCCTTTGCTGTGTCCTATTTTTCTTTCCAGGCCTTTCTCTCTCGGTTACAGTCGGCACCAGCTTTCATTATCACCCTGGGCTGATGGTGTTTGTCTGCTCTCATGGGCACGGCACACTCACATTTGAGCAGTGAAGCAGTCATATCGTTTCACCAATGAGGACTAATCTTTTTAGATTTGCTTTTTATTAGCAACCCCCCACTTTAAATGTTCTTTTAGTCTTTATTATTTACCTACCTTTATATTATTTTATTTATTTTATAGGTCTTAAAGGTTATTATCTTATTTTATTGATCTAACATGCTTCAATAGCAATATTTATTTTTACAATGGTCTTTTTTATTTCTTAATCGTTTAACCTTTATTAGAATTATGGCATTTTTATTACTATTATTTTTAAAATTTTATTTCTGTTGTACCTACATGTTCACTTTGTTTTATGGGGTTTTATATTTTATATTGTTGCATCGATTCAGTTGTCTTGTGTCTTATCTGTCAGAGAAACCATTATTTATTTTATTTTTATTATCATACATTTTACCTCCTTGTGTCTATTAACCTGATCAAATGTTATAATTTGCTGCATGTACCTGTAAAGTTCTTAACAAATAATCTGAGGGGAATTTCTTGTTGTCTATTTTTAACTTGTGATGTGTCATTTTGTAAAGCATGTGTTGTATGAAAAGTGCTATATAAATAAAGCTTTATTATTACTATTATTATTATTATTATTATTATTATTATTATTATTATTATTATTATTATATACAATGCAGACTCATGCACTACCAGCCCCTTTGAGTCCCCTGGTCTCTCACCGCAGGACGAAGTCGGCCTGGTCAATGTCTCGTCCACATTTGCTGTTCCGGAGAATGCCGCCATTGCCCACCACGGCACACTTCTTCAGGGGCAGCTGCAGGGGGTTTTCCTGCGTAGAGGGAAACATGCAGCTTTGTTAGCACACACAAAGAAACAGATATTCATTTTCACTCAACCTAGAAACCGAAATGGAGGCAGGTGCATGAGTGACCTTGTGTTCAGGAAAGAAAAGGACCTTCTAATTTTCCTTAAGAGACTAAAGTGCTGAAGGACAAACAAGCCTGGATATATGAGTGAGGAAGTGGACAAGTAGAGGTCATACAACTTCATAAATCAGGTTCTGTCATGGCTTTTGCGTCAAGAGCAAAGTCTATATTATACATAGAATTATTGAATCAAAAATCTTAAACGAACATAGATGAATCAGCAAAATACAAGGATTAAATACCTAGCAAACACTTTTTTTCTAATGCCTGTAAACAGAAAACGTACTGGAACTGCAAAGTGCATCAGGCCAATAACTATAACATGTTAATGTGATCTTTGAATTGAATGTACCCACATTATTTCTCAGGGAAAACAAATGTCAAAGACGAAAAAACAAAATATGATTATATAATCTCTGCTCCTACTCTTCCATTTTAATCAAATTTGTGTTCTGGTAAATGTATTTTCTTTTGTCTCTGCATAGTGTTTGTGCCTGGTCATCACAGTGTTTTTAAAAGTACCCACAAAGCCCTCAGATGAACTCAAGAACCCCTTCATACCATATTTTAAATGTGAACAAAGTTGATATTTTTACAATATTTGCAATAAAAGTAATCCGTCAATGCTATTTGGAACTGTTGATTCATTTTAAAGATAGTTATTGTAACAATTTTTCCATTGATTTTAGCTAAATATCTTGAGCTGTTGTTACAAATGTGAATATATATTGTTTTAATCAATTTGTATTTTCTGTATACAGTAGAGCTCCACCATCTCTCCACGCTCTACACCCTAGCCACTGCAGAAGTAACTCCGGGGGTGGAAATCACAGCAGCCCTATCATCATCTAAATGAAAGCCTTGGATAGATTTGTATTAAAACTGTTCCTGAGAACGCTGAAATACCAAGCTCCACGAGGCAAGGGCCAAAACTGTCCCTTCTCTTTGACATGGCTGTATTAAAGTCAAAGGCATGGATTAAGAGGGACGGCGGAAACAATTGTGCTCATTATTGCCCTCGGAGTGCACACACTTGAGAATACACACACACATAAACGCACACACACAACCCTCCGCGCCTCGGGGTCTCTTTTAGACCGTGACAGGGGGGGTGAGTCAGAGGACAATGCAATCACAATTCTTGTTTTGTGTCACCAACAAGGGAAAAATATTCCAAACAAAACTGGAACCAGATACTGTTTGACTTCCCACAGATAAGAGGATCATTCACGAGCTTGCAAATGTGTTATCATGATATTAAGGAATAATTCATCAGAAACTTTTAGGATGCTGTAGAGATACGAATAGATAATCTACTGTATAGTGAACTCTGTGTATGGACGCTCTGTTTGAGCCATTTGAATAACCAGTATTTAACTGTCAAAGCCTTAATTGGCACATTCCCTGGCAGATGCCCAGATACTGGAGCTGCTGCCAGCTTGGTGAAGTGTGGCTGGTTGTCTGTGTTCAAACCCGCAATTACAGCACTGGTAGTTGAGAGGGCTGAGAATATGTGTGTGTGTGTGTGTGTGTGTGTGTGTGTGTGTGTGTGTGTGTGTGTGTGTGTGTGTGTGTGTGAGCTTGTGCTTCCTGCCTAACTAATAGTTACTTTCCTTCCGAGAAACACCACACATGCACCTGACCTGAGGCAAGGTGAGAGAGCGGAGTCTGACACAGAAAGAAAACCACCAGCTACATCCTTGTGTCAGTTATAGATGTACCATAAAAAGACCATAAAATGTAAAGATTAACATCACTCAAGGAAGACAAGTGATGTCATGGATATAATGCCATGAATGGATTTTTATATTAGATTCTAAAGGGTTGGTTCATCCATATCCCAATAAATAGGGTGGCTGCAACACGAATAAGTTCAGGTATTAGAATCATTGATTCTATCACTACAAAAATACACTTTGTTAATAAGGACAATGGTTCTGGGAAGACACATTGATGCAGTTTTTTTAAATGTAAAAAATCCTATTGCTCAACTTAAAATGGAGGGGTCGAATACAGTAAGAGTTAAATATGTTCTTGTGTTAGGGACAACATTTACAAAAATGCAAATTGGTGATAAATGTGTTCCTTTTCTTCCCCTTTACATTTAATTGAACATGTAAGATCTAATTGAGATACAACTGTGTATTTCACTTATAAACACATACCAGCAATAAAACAACTTTTGATTTAAAACCTCCTGTGCTCACTGTGGTTCAGCCCGGCCACTCTTGCTTCATATTCTCATTTCTTTATTTATTGGCCCTCAACTCCCCCCACCCCTCATGAATGAACATGCCCGGCTCTCGCTTGCAAATTAGGGTCACAAATTCATCGCATTTACCAACCAGGATATTAAACTGCATCAGTAATGGGGATCCAATCTTCTTTATTAGTGAGATGTATTGCCCCTGGATACAAAAACCACGGCAACAGTAATTATGAGCTTCTCATTCTGTCCTGTTTCCCGGCACAAACACCCTACATCCACATGCACACCCACACACAGCATGTAAAGACATGTAAATATTAGTGCTGTGCGATTATGGCAAAAATCATAATCACGATTATAACTGGTCAATATTGATATCACGATTATTAAATACGATTATTCATTGACTTTGAAAACATCCATTTATTGAACTTTAAAACAAATTAAAATTATAATTTGAACAGTATGAATACCCTGAACTTTAAGTATAATTCAACTGAAAAACCAATACAAAAAATTAATTATACATTTATATCTAAATTTAAATAAATAATATCAAAATAATAAATACCAATAAAGAAGATAAACAAATATTTTGGAGAGCACTTCCACAACCTACTAAACATATATAAATATGATAACTAATGTCACTCACAACCTGTAATGTTTAACCTGTTAAGCCCTGAGCCTGTTTTTCAGGTCTCAGGCTCGAAAATGACATTCCCAGAACAAATGACCATATCTTCCCTTCTAAAAGGGTTAAATTAATAATCTTTTTTCTCAAAGTAATGATAAACCTGTGAGTTGGATGTAGAAAAGTCAGAATCAATATAGATGTTTTTTATTTTAAAGAAAATTCAGATTGAACATAGTAAAAAACGGTAAATTATAGTGTCCGTCCAAAAATTATTTTTTACTTATAGTGAAAACCACCCTTGGATGATGGTAAGGTAGACTAAAAGCTTTAGGAATCCAAAGTACAACATATAATAAGTACCCTGTATCAAGATTGATGCAAAACAAGTGACATTTGACCTTTTTAGAGAGATTTAGCAAAAATAAACCACTTCTGGGGTCATTTGGGTGGATTTTCCATCTCTGGCCCCCCTTGCTCGATTTTGATGGTTGACACCTCTTTCTGACCGTTAGAGCCAATAGAATCGAAGGGGGAGTCCCCCACACACACTCATTGTGAAGAGAAATGGTGGGGGCTTCGCGCATGTAATTTTCCATCAGAGTGAACCTATCTCTAGCTTTGACATCTGGAAACGGAAAAGCAGTTTTAATGCTTATGGATTATCAGAAATCATTTCAAAGGGACACAGACACATTGGATTAACCTATGGATTAACTTCAGCAGCGTTTTTATCGTTTTAATGCCATTGAAGACCACTTTGGAGAGACTACAGAGCCAAGGTAAAAATGTTAGCATTTTTAGCTACCTAGCGTCACCTGTTTTGATGTCCGTTTTTGCTTATAACGTCGCCATTTCATATAATTCAGTGATAATGTGGGTGTCCAACGATTCTGTGTCACCTCACGATGTGAAACGATGTCATGGATGTAGAGAAGAGATAAATAATAAGGTTTTGTGAGTGATTTTCGGTGCAGTAAGGTGTTAGCATTTTTCGCTCGTTGCTAATTCAGAGGCTCAGTGTTAGCATTGTGGGTTTTATTTAAAAAAAAAGAAAGAAAAAAAGATCAGTTAGATGAGTTTCTTCCCGTTACATGGATATAAAACATTCATAGTTTATTAAATGAACATGCCCTCAGACACTGTTTCCTGCAAGATGTTGCGGCAGTGCCCCGGTACCGGGGTCTCTCGGGCTTAACAGGTTAATTATACTGCTACACGCAGTTCTCTTATTTTGGTAACCCCTGATCGGGAAACCGGAAGTAGCCAAGAGGCTCCGGCTTGACGAGATTAGTGAAAGTTTACTGAACGCTAGAGAACGGAGAGCAGTCGCGGCATTATAGGTGGGCCTTCTGGGCCTAGGCCCACCCACTCTGGCACTGGGCCCACCCATTCATTGATAAAAAATGACTGGGCGAAAATATAGTTTCCAACATTTTTGATCAAAATTAATAATAAAATAATAAAATAAGAGCAAACATGTGTTTCCCTTTCAAAAAATAATAAAATTAAAAGCAACATTAATTAACGTAATCAGACCGAACTCATAGTCGAAGCGCCGGAGCAAACACATCGTAGAACGTCTCGTGGCCACGCGCAGACGAAGGAGGACAGTGGACTGGAAAGACACAAAAATATACTGCGCTCACTAACGATGTCACAACAATCGATGTTCAGGTTTTTTTTAAAGAGTAAGAACAGAGTCGCCGCCACCGGAACCACCACACTCATCATCCTCACAGCAGGTGCCGCCTCAGAGAGACGAGAGTGCATGTTGTGCCCCCGCTGAGCTCAGTCCCTCTGCGGGACATAGCACCCGTTGCAGGATAACAGAAAATAGCATCCCAGTGCCGGACCTCTCAGCCATAGATGACCCGGCAGCTACACAGCCAAAGCTCATAAAGTACCCTCAGACACTTTTCGGACAAAAGTTGCCCACTGGTATGACAAGTACACATTCTTGGAGTATAGCATTAGCAAGGACAGTGTGTTTTGTAAAATATGCCGGCATTTTACAGAGAGAGGCAGGGCCGGCGGAGAAGATACATTCAGTCGCCATGGTTACAGGGACTGGAAAACACATTGACTATGCTCTCAGTAAACACGAATGTCATTCTAGGCATAGCCTATTTTTATTAGATTATTAACAAAAATCGCGAGAAAACATTTGAACAGGCCCAGCCGAAATTACATTGGCCCACCCACAATTGAAATCCTGGCGCCGCGACTGCCGGAGAGTAAAGACACGGCAATTAAAGCTTCCCTTGTAACAGGTTTATATTTTATATATACAGCAGGGCTATTCAATTGGCGGCCCGCGGGCCAAATCCGGCCCCGGGGTGATATTTACTGGCCCTTTGAGTATAATGTTAAAAAGTCATCAATTGTTTTTTTTAAGATTTTTTTTTTTTGTGCCATAGTGCCTTTATTCCAGAGAGGGTGTTACATTGAGAGATAGAGGGGTAGACAATGCCTGAAAACTTCGACGGGCTCGGGTTTCGAACCCACCTACTATACTGTAGTGACAACTCCTGTCATTGATTGCATCTCTGCGTGAATGATTAGATCATTTCACCTAAATGAAATCAAATGAAACATGTAGGCCTACTGAGTTCTGAACTTGCCATTTAGATCTATAAAGGCCTTGGGGCTATGTTGTTTGATTGAATTAAACACAATATATGCACTCCACTATGCTGTTGTAGTATTTACTGTATCTGAAGCTCTTAAATATGATTGCTCATATTTCAAGCCATCTTTTTCCCGGCCCCTTGCTTTGGATCATTTTCATCAACCGGCCCCCATTCCAAACTAATTGAATAGCCCTGATATACAGTCTATGGTTTATATGAATTTATTAAACCGACTGCAAGTCACAACACAACCTGGCTGAGAGGGCTTAGGGAGGGGTGAAAGCGCATGCACGGGCAGGATGTATAACGCAGGATGTATAACGCAGGATGTATAACGCAAGACAAATTGAGAGCATCATTGCGAAAGGGAATGCAGCAAAATAATCGTTTTTTTTCGATTACGTTGTTTTCATAATCGTTGCAAGCCAAAATCGTAATCGAGATTAAAATACGATGAATTGCACAGCCCCAGTAAAAAATAGCCCTGTAAAAAATATCTGTATACAAGCAGAAATACACACTTAAGGTCCAGTTTTGCACACCGCTACAGTTTTACCCATGCATAAACATCTCTCCATCTTAGATTAGGCCGAAGTGGAAACAACACAGGACATATCCTCTTGAGAACACAGAGCAGGAGAGAAAACACTTCACATTTAGCCTTATCTGCAATTTTCCAGCTGTATCATGTCTGGTCGTTATAGAAACAAGATGTGTTAGATGCTTATCATGGTGATTAATTGAAATGGATTGAGTATCTTTCATTTCTGCTTTTTAACTGATGCTGTGTTTGTTTCTCTAACCAGCTTCCACATTTTATTGTTGACTCCCCTCACATGGCAGAGCTTCGAACCAGTAATCCTCTCTCCTTCTGAGAATGTCAGTCCTCCACCCCCGCCCCCATTATGGATCACCAAAAAAACATGTTAAAGGTCCCCTATTATACTGTTTTTCATCAATATAGGTTACCTTGGTTGGTTATTGGCTAAAAAACACAAGCCAAAAAATAGTTATGACATCATAAAGTGGCCAAAATCTGATCAGCTCATTTTCAGACAGGTTTTTATATAAATGGATCAGGACAAAAAGTGAGCGAATCTTTTTTCCTGAAACTTTCAGAATCTCTTTACACAGAGGGGGCACATGTTGATGTATAAAAGACATGAAAAAGTGGATGTTGCATAATAGGTGACCTTTAAAAACCACAGTCCCACACTCAGTCGTATTGTGCCGAGTGTGTGAATAATCAAATCACTTAATCTGTTCTTATTTGCTTTTCAAGAACACAGCTTCCTGCCTGCAGCCTGAATGTGTTTTGTGGCACCCTGTTATTCCTTTACGCAGCGTCCACACGGCGGCGTGCGTTGAAGCTTGCCGGCGGGCGTGTCTGAAACTCGACCAACAACCAATCACATGAATCTCCCGCCCCGGACACACAAGCACGCGGTTTGATTGGCTAGAGCTTGTAATGGCATTTGATTGGCTGACGCTTCCGTCGAAGCTTCAAAAGTTGAACATTGCTCAACTTTTGAAGCGAAGCGACGGAACCACAATGCAGTTCGGCAAAGCGTGACGTCACGCCATTCAAAGTGAATGGGCAGAAGCGTTGAAGCTTCAACGCACACCGCCGTGTGGACGGGCCGTTTGTGTTTCTGAAGACTACATACCTGCACAAAGAGGGGGTAGGTCTCATTGTTGACAGTGCGCGAGTGGTAGAACTCTCCATCGTACCACAGGACTTTGCCCATCGGCGAGTTCTCCTTGGTCACCGCAAACATCTTCCGCGGCTCGCAGCACTCCGTCAGCAGCTTCCTGTACAGAGAGGATGTGGGGAATAATGAGTCGGTAATGATGTAATGATCTGTGACACAAATTTGATTCAACAGGGCTGCTGGGATTCTGATGAAAGACAGGCTATAACAATTGTTTAATTATTTGCCTGGAGACTGAGTAAGATGTGTGTTAATATGACAGGACAAGGAACTCTTTTGTAAGGTTAAGGCCTGTACATCACATGAAGTTATCACATATTTTAGATTATTATCAAGAATATCAATAAAAGGCTCATTAAATGGATGTTTAATACTTGGGACTGTCTTAGCTTATACACTATGTTGTTGTTCAAATAAAAAAAAAACACTGGACAAAACCTTCCTGTTACTTATAAACGCACAGCATCAGCAGGTGTCACCTTCCCTGATTAACCTAATCGGCTTTGCCATTGGAGAATTGTCAATTCTCAGCGGAATAAGATGTATTCCCACCTATGATTCCCACAGAGGGAATAACATGCTCTGTTCGTCAAGTTTATAAAACAGTATCGCTGTAAGTAAGTCTGTGGTACTAAATCAAGAGTCTGGATGATATGTTTGTATCTCCTGAGGTAGGCTATTACTGTTATTTTCCAGTTAGATTTCTTACAACATTTGACAGATTTAAAAAATGTTTGTGTGTTTTTGGTATAATTACAGTTGTTATTATTGATTTGAGCATTTTAAGCAATTCTAAAATACTTTTTTGTGGGACAGTGTCAACATAATGACATGCCCATATGTTCAGGGGCCCCAAATAGAAAGAAAGGAGGTCACAGACTCAATTATTCCTAAGAACCCCTGGTGATATGTTGCTGCTTAATATTCTTTTATGTGTCCTTTACTATGCAAAATCAAAAACACAAAGGAACATCTCTACCGACCTTCTTGTTCTCTTTTTAAAAACACAGGGACCTAGTAGAATCTGCTTTAAACCATGGAGAGAAATGTGAGACCTGGTACGAACCTGTAGTGATCGATGCCCGTCTGGTTCTTCTGCCATGCCTCCCCCTGCCTCAGCACCTCCTCCACGATGTCCTTATCGCGGGGGAGTCTGTAGACGGGGAAGATGTAGAACCAGCAGAGCACCAGCACGCACAGAGCGGCCCACACCGACAGCTTGCCTCGGTAGCATCGAACCAACATGTTTCCCCCTCTTGTCTTAGCGCAAAACAACCGGAGCATGCACCTTACACCGGTGCAGTAAAGCTTCCCCTTTCTCAAAATCTCCGCCCCAGACACGGTGAAGGCTGAATGGAATCTGGTAGTCTGTTACCCGGTTGTTTGTGTGAAGCTTGTGTCTGAAAATCCGTGTTTTTGTTGGTGGGGCTCAGATGGGGAGAAACAGAAGCGCCTGACCCTGCAGCAGCTCACACTCGGGTGCGGGGTTGTGGTGCAGTGTGTCGGGCTCTGCAGGAATCCTCCGCTCTGCTCCCGGTGCATCACCACCATCATCACAGCCTGATTGTGAAGAATCATGCGGGCCCCCTCCTCCCCGCCCCGGTGTCCCTCCGTATCCCAATCCGAAAGAGGGGTACCCCGATGTACCGGTTCACGTTGATTCCCTTTTCTCCCGCCCTCCGCTCCTCTTCTCTGGCCTCCGCTGTCCGCGTCCTGCTTCGGGCTCTGCGGTGCAAAGTGAACCGGGCCAGTCCAATTGAGTCCACCTTCACCTCCCCCTCGGTCTCCTCCTGTCAACACCCCCCTCCGCCGAGACAAAGTGCTGCTTGTGCTGCTGAAGGCGCGTCCAACTCCCCCGAGACTGCACTAGTGAGACCGGAAGTCGTGGCTTCAAAATAAAATCATGCACACAGAACACGATTCTTGGTGGAAAATGTCTCCAGCTGACTTTTCTTTTACTGTGTCGAGCTAATTCACTAACATTAATATAAGCGTCATTCAAAAATGCACAGTGCATTTTCTAATAACATTTATAATCTGTGTGACACAAATATGCACGATTGTTTTGGGCTCCCCCTATTTATCTGAGCTGTACTGTACTGTACCCAATATACAAGCTGTTAATAAACTTTTCAATCAATCAATCAATCTCAAAGTCGGCCTTCAGGGGAGCTCCCTCCCTCTTCGGGGGAGCCAAGCCCTGGCTCCCCCCCCATTTTGAAATAGTGCATACAATGCTAAAAGGCTAGGGTATGTGTTAGCATCATGGATGTATAATAACTTAATCATATAATCCGTTCTTATAAATTATTGTGCATCCATGGGTAAAGGTAAAACGCATTTAGTACTGAACCAAGCCCCCAGGAAGTGCGCCGGACATTAAGGAAAATATTCGTTGTGGCCAAACGGCGGTACTACACTTCCGTATCAGTCGCTGTACCCGGAAAGACTTTTTCCCATTGATTAACATTGGGAAAGAGACGTCTGTAAATTGTTGGATAATTTTTTTTAAACTAAATAAACTACCCAGTATGAACATTTGCATAGCCCTTATTAAAAACATTCGGTCCTCAAGTTGTAAAATGTGCTAATAACGTTATTCTGAGAGTTATTTTCCTCGGCATTATGAACGCGCATCTAACCCACGGGACCGCGCCGCCCGGCATGTTCATGTGACGTGTTCAGTAGCCTACTACATGAGTTTTCTTTTTCCCATGGATGCACAATAAGAACGGATTATATGATTATATGAATACTTTCGTGATGTTTCGCTCTCTCAAAAGTTGGGCCATTTTGTCTTCATGTGCCAATGAGCAACTCTCATAGGAATGAACGAGGCCCCGCCTCCCACGCTGTATCCAGTTCTTATTATACATCCATGTACTGAACAACGAATATTTTCCTCAGAGTCCGGCGCACTTCCTGGGGGCTTGGTTAGCATCCACAGCAAGATTCAAAGTAGTGTAGTTATGGCAATGAAAATGTTAAAGGGGACCTATCATGCAAAATGCACTTTTGTACGTCTTTTATACATGAATATGTGTCCCCGGTGTTCCAGGGAACTCACCAAGTGTCAGAAAACACAACCCTCTCTATTTTCCTCCATACCCAAATCTCTAAAAAAGGGGCTGCAACGGATCTGATAAAAACTGATCCAGATTTGAACACTGTCCTGGCATCAGGACAGTGGCGCTACGGCTATTGGGCCAACTCCACCAATCAGGAGGAGACAGCCACGGCCATTGCCGTTCGAAAGCGCTGGAGACGCTGTAGTACATATGCCAGGCCTGTAGATGGTGCTGTTCTCATAGAATCTGCCCTTGCAAAAACAGAGCTAAAAAAATGTCAAATTAAGCAAAATGAGGCATGGCTAAAATGCATGATCTGTTTGGTATTTTGAAAAAAAAAAGTATAAATATGCCTTATATAGGTATGGTCCTATACTATATTATTCAAATATAGCATGATAGGTCCACTTTAAATTCCATGCTCCTTCAATAATGCAACATAAATATATATAAGATAATAAAATAATTAAAAAAATAGAGCAGAACAGAAATACAATAAAATAGATAAAAAAGGATAATAAATAAAGGAGCAAACCTGCATAATATTTCTAATAAAAATGTAGGGAATGTTATTTGTTCCCTGAGGAGTAGTTTTATTAGAAACACATCAGGAAATTACCAGTATGTTTTTTCTGAAAACATTTGCAACAGGGTCTGCATAATTTATTATGGATCCATACATCCATGTATTTTTATGTGATAAATGTTTCTCTTCAACAACTTTTGACTGCAATAGTTTGTTTTCAGGGATTATAGCCAACACATTGGATACACATGCATCTTGTCTTTTATTTTGAAAGTCCCATTTCACAGTCCTGTACTAACTCCCGCCAGCTGACTGCTTTTTCGTCTTTTGTTTTCTTAGTTGTGTTCTCTGTATTTTACATGTTTGTGTTATGTGTAACGTTGCTGCCTTCTTGGCCAGGTCAGCATTGTAAATGAGATTTTATCTCAATGCTTTTTATCTGGTTAAATAAAGGTTAAATACAAAATAAATAAAAAGCTTGACCCCGGCAGCTGCACTCGGGGGTCTGTGATGTGAGGCTCTGCTGCCCCCTGCTGGACGCTCTCTGCACTGCAGGAACAAAGATTTAAGGATGATTGAGACGCTGTCACAGCATGCTACCACACCCTAACTCCACACCGACCGAGGTCACCGTATGATCCTATTTTAATCCATACATGGTTTACCAATCTCTTTTACACAAGATTACGCAGTTATTTTCATATTTTGCCCTGAAATATTACATCATTTTCTATTCTATTCAGATTTTTCTGCACACCAGCAGAGTATTACTGTGTAAAGTGCTGCTGTCGTGTGGACAAAGTCAGTATTACATGTGAGCACTTTAACAGCCGTGGCTCTGTGCATGTGTCTTTGTGTGTAAGAAGAAGTGTTTAACTTTAGTGTTGTGTTTATGATGGCAAATGTCTTCATATTATATGTTATTTCTTTAAAGTTACCACAGGAGTCTTTGACTTATAATTCTGAGCACTAATGCTCAGAGTTCAATTTCAGTGTAAATTTAGGGTGAGGTTAGGGACACATTTAGATATGAATGTTGATGTGTCACAAGGCTATTTGTGTGCATTCGATTCTGTGTATAGCTTTATTGATTTTAAATAGACTTGTCCTCACCCAGCCCGTTATGTGCTAATGCAGATGCTTCAGGGTTTAAGGTTGAAGGAGAAAAACATAATATATTGGATTGAGGAATTGCTGCATTTTTATTTGTTTGCACATAAAGAAAAACACAATTATTTTGAAAAACATGATATGTTAAAAAGCCTTTCACTTACACAAAGACATATTCCCGAATAGGCAACCACAAAATAAACAGACATGTCACAAAAGACACTTTTGCTTGTGCTACTCAGAAAAAACATGTAAAAACACATGAATAAAAAGAAAATATAGCTGTAAAAAACAACTGAATAGTTATAGAGCATACAAAGACATCTCAATTGAAATGTCTACATCCACATAAACACATAAAAACAATAACCATACTTAAGTTATCTCACTGCCCTCGTGCCCTTTAGCCCTGTACAAGCTGATGAAAGTGCGATTAGTTGAGAAATGTTGGCCACTCAGGGCACCCTCTGCCCCCCGCTGGGATCTCTGAGGGCGGCGTCAAGGTCAGAGTGGCGGGCAGAGCGGCGGGCAGGGGGATGTAATGGCAGTCCACTGGGCTGGAGTCATGTGTCAGCTGCTCCCTGCTCCCCGTGTCCAAACACTGAGCCACTGTGGAGCTCTGTTCATATATGAACAACATGCTTTGTTAGATGTTAAGAATAGTACATATTATTAGTTAAAAAGGTATTCAGATCCTTTATTAAAGTACATTTAGCGATAAAATAATCAATTAATTAAAAGCATTATTAGCTAAATGTATTTAAATTTGATGTGGAAAGTATTGGCCCCTGTGGGAACTATATATTTGAAAATATTTTACAGATCCATATGTAGCATTTACTGTAGTAGTCAAGAATGAGCTAATTCTAACCACTGTTCATGCAGTTTTGTAGTCTTCTGTAAAAATATTTATAAATCAGAATCAGAAAGAAACAGGTTAATTGCCAAGTAGGTTAACACATACGAGGAATTTGGTGTATATGGTGCATACATACAGTAAACACAGTTAAAGAAGATACATTGTAAGAAAAAACAAACAAATAAAACAGTTGTAAAAAAACATAAAAATCTTATAGCATTAAGATATAGAAAATCATTTACATAAAATATAGATATACCAAAGAATATGTACAGTATGCTAAGACAAAATACTCAGGATCGTATACAGTATGATGTATGTAATTACATCTGTTAAATAAGTGAAGTAAAACTACAACATTTGCAGCTGAATTAAAGTGAAGTATAAGTATGAAGTAGCATTAATAGTAAAGTACCTCAAAGTCACACTTTGGTAGTCTATGTAAATGTGTGCCTAAAACATTGTGTTCATAGTAGCCATTGTGTCTCTTAATAAGATCAAACATTGTTAGGGTCATGTTATAAAACAGTTTCTAATGATACTACAGAGCTCAAAGTCTAGAAACGTCATTGCTGAGCTGGCTGGGTCATGACAATGGATTCAGATGGATTATAGAGCGACAACTGACAAAACAAATATCACTCCGACAGCAGGTGAGGACGGACTGAGAGACTTGAAGATCACGCATCAACGGCCTGCGCCTCAGGGATTAATGTGGCTTTAGCTGATGTTCACTTTTCCTTCTTTTATTCCCACAGGTTCAAATTGTTCACATTGACCACCAAATAAGGAGAACTATGGGGTGACACATTGATCTGTCACCTACCTATTTATAAAAAGCAGTGAGAGTAGAAAGTGCATTTCAAGCACTTCCCGGATACCAAGGCCTCCATGTTATTTGTTCATTGTGTGTATGTGTCTGTGTGGTGGAGATGGAGGGGAGTTGGGTTGCAGCAGAAATAGTGCTCCCACCTGCTGAGGATCAGCGAAAAAATAAAATGATGACAGAACATTTGTTGCCCCCCGTGTCTTCCTCTTTTTATTGCCTCTCAGTGCTCACAGAAGAGTTGTCTCTTCAGCTCCTGCCCCCTGTGGCATTAGTGGCAGGAGCCTACAGACACTGGTTGACACTAACATGCTTAATAAGGAACTGTGATTACATCAAAAGATATTTTGTTAGCCTGGAAAACTATGGAAACAAACATTTTTCAATGGCTTGGATCGCACCAATTCATTAACCTCTTAAGCCCTGAGCCTGTTTTTCAGGTCTCAGGCTCGAAAATGATATTCCCAGGACAAATGACCATATCTTCCCTTCTAAAAGGGTTACATTAATAATCTTTATTCTCAAAGTAATGATAAACCTGTGAGTTGGATGTAGAAAAGTCAGAATCAATATAGATGTTTTTTATTTTAAAGAAAATTCAGATTTTACATAGTAAA